AGACGAGGAGAGGAGACGAGAGTTACGAGAGAGACTGAGAGAGAGAGGAGGAGGAGAGAGAGAGGCCCGAAGAGAGAGGGAGAGGAGAGAGAGGAGAGGGAATGAAGAGAGAGAGCCGGAGACGACGAGAGGAGTCGGAGATGAGGAGACCGAGGAGAGAGAGAGAGAGAAGAGATGACTGAGAGAGAGCCCGAGCAGACCCGAGAGAGAAGAGAGAGAGGACTGACTGAGACGACAGTCAGAAGAAGCCAGTCAGAGGACGGAATATTGTCAGATCTCGGCCGAGATTCTCTTCAGAGTGAATAGAGATTACGCAGACCTATCGGTCAAATCGGTCTGGAAGTCCGAGCATACCAACTGAGTGGTCATCAGTGCATAATCATGGGATCATGAGTATGACAGGCATGGGTATCCCGGTGGCAAAAGCACACTGCACGTCAGGACAGAGTTTGGGCAGTGCGGTTATGGGATCGCATTCTCTCAACGACGTCATTGTGCTGAGGCACACGACCAACACCAGTTTACAAGCTGGCTTCGAGAGCGATTAACAAAGAAAAAGATTTCAATGTCGATAAGGAACTAAGATATCTTTGGACTGCTGTTCTGATATCACTGGTTAGAAATTGAGTCACTGCTGCATGTTAGCTTCTTAAAGCAAGACTACTACACACAGTTCAGAATACGCCAATGTCCAGATTTCATCCAGTATTTTGTTTGGGCAAAACAATCGTTTTACATAATACGGGAGAGTAGCCGAATAGTAAGGTTTCATTTGACGATCTTTTTCCCGTGTGTTATGTCCATGCATGCCAATTATTTGCCACGAATGGCCGGGGCATGGCATCCACCCCACCAGCTATCTGTGCTGGGGCACGGCGTCCACCCCACCAGCTATCTGTGCTGGGCGTCCACCCCACCAGCTTTCTGTGCTGGGGCACGGCGTCCACCCTACCAGATTTCTGTACCGGGGCACGGCGTCTACCCCACCAGCTACCTGTACTGGGGCACGGCGTCCACCCCACCAGCTATCTGTGCTGGGGCACGGCGTCCACCCCACTACCTATCTGTGCTGGGGCATGGCATTCACCCCACCAGCTATATGTGCGTGCGGCTACAACGTGACCTTCGGGGGTCATCAGTACTCCCGTCCCGTACGGGTTTGGTCACGGGAGCATTCTGCTAATGGGCCGACGCGCGCGTGAGGGCAGCGGCTGGTGGGTGGGGGGAGGGGGAGGGGCTGCGAAGAGTGCTCGCCTGTGTAGGGCGGATGCGATGGTGGCCTAGAGTGTGGCCGAACGTATTGACTGCGTCGCATCGGGCATCACATCACCGCATCGGCGCAGTGAGCGATCGGCCAGTGTAGCCACCGGATTCTGTGGGTGTAGTCACAGTGCTACGGAGACGGCGATTCGCGCATGTTGCGTTGGAAGTACATCAGTTTCTCCAGAATTCGTCGCAGTGACATATGAAGGCTGCATACAGTACACGTCTTTGCCGGCAATAAACGCCACTCGAGCCGGAAAACACAATTTATCACATTATGTACAAGAACGCACACACTGAGGTCCATCAGCATTCATCTGCATCATTTCGCCTTGAAGCAAAAACGGTGGCGCCCCACGCACCGGTGCTATGCAATACATGACAAGGCCTCGATACCATTGGCACTCGCGTTAAGCCCGCTGGCCACAGTACCAAAGTGCGACGGTGCCGGTTGCTCATGAGCGCTCGGCCTGAGCTGCCAGCCGTGATAACACTCCATGGCGCCGGCTTCGCCGCTGAATACCAGCTCCCGTTGGGCGGCACAATCGCGTCGCATCCGACGAGCCGCGCTGACTTGCACGGGTCGTTCCGCGCAGGACCCTTGAACTCCACATACAAATTGACACTATTCCCTCCCGAGCAGCACGAAAGTGGCCGTAAACCTCGCCCCACTGCCGCTCGAGGAGAGCACATTATGGATAACAGCGACATCGCTGCACAGACTGGGCGCACCGACAGCGTCACCATCGATCGAACCGCGCGGCGCCCGCCGGCCGCGCTAGCTGGTCTCGCTGCTGTCGTCGATGTAGCGCAGCTGGTGATCCGCAGGGCACGCCGCCTCGGAGCCGCCGCCGGCGCAGGGAACGCCATTCGGCAGCGGTGACGAGACGCTCTCCTGCTCCGATGGACCCTGTGTGACGACACCCTCCGGCTGCTGACGGCCCGATGGCCGTCGCGTGACGTCACGCGCCGGCTGCTGACGCCTGACAGCACAGCGATCTTTTCGTGGGCCCGAGACGGCGTGGTCTTCTTTTTCAATTTTCCAGAAGATGTCAGCGCCATCGCCCTTCCCTGGCCGCCGCCAGGTGTCGACACAGCTGCCGTTCTCCGGTTGTCGACAGATGGCAGCACTGTCGTCCTCCGTTCGCCGCCAGGTGTCAGCTGTGTCGTTTTTTCCCGGCCGCCGCCAGGCGTCGGCGACGAGCAAGACGGGAGCGGGTCGGGCCGGAGTCGCCGGAGAGGAGGAGCGCGGGGAGCGCAGCACGCGTGGCGACATCTCCATCTCGATTATTTGTGGAACGCTGGAGCGACGACACACCTGCCGGGCAGCGGTGGTCGGCGCAGGCTCAGGCCAGGTCGCGAACTGATACTTTTCACGCGTTCTTCGGCAAGACAAGTGACGCGGTGGGCTTGATCAAGGCGGTTTGGTGTTAGCGTCTGTGCTGCTCATGGGGCAAGCATATAGATGACTATCCGTGAGCTTATTATCCGTATGCATACGGTGTCTATACCTAATGAAATAAAATAAAAAGATAACGACCGGCTTGTGACTGTCCCACCAGAAATGTCAACACAACATCGTTGCAGATTCGCACCCAGTCTCATAACGGAGTTTTGAAACATATTTGCACAGTGGAAACTACAGGGATACGAGCATGGTTCCTTGAGCACATATGTTATCAGCGCACTCTTCTGAAAACCATTATCCTGTTTATTCCATATCAGAGAAACCAACCGACATGCGGTTTTCCAAATAAGCATCAATCAGCATGTGCTGCTACGGAGCCCCACCACCTGCAGACTGTTGGTGCTGCTGCTGGGTGACACGGCTCGCAGGCTGGTATACCCCATCACCTCGTTTTCCCACTCTGACTTCTCCTCCATGTCTAGGTCAATGCCTAGTACTGCCTGGAATCTGCGACAGAACATGCATGCGTTTGGTCAAAGCGCAACGTCTTGTCAGATAGTTGCGCTTTTTGCTACAAATAAAGGAAAATGTGTTTAAGCGTGAACCACGCACGCGGCGTCTGCGTTAAGTACTTCCGCAATGACCTAGCGGAGTATGTGCGTCATAATTGTGCAGGAAAGCGTGCAAGTGAGAATGGTATCGCAAGTGCTGTCGTTGAAGATAGATAAACAAAGAAAATCATTCATGACTAGATGAATTATGCATACGCTGCAAATGATGCATATTACCAGGTCTTGGATGTTATTAACGCTATCTACCCTTGCGATTGCGTTTTTAAAACAATGCAATGCATGATTTGCTGCAAAAAGCCGCAGTGGCATAAAATAGTAGGCTGAAAGACACTAGTGGAAGCAGCGTCAACACCTGTGGTTAAATCTGTGAACACATTTGGGGCAGTCCTGAGCTTAAATTTTGAAAATAAACGGCTCAGTACATCCTCAAATACTGTAAGCATGGCTTATAAGCCTGCCGAGCTCAGTCAGTCGCCTGGGGCGGTCAGCACTTCGAACCAGCTTACACCGTGGCTGTGGAGTAATGCAGCTCAGCCATCCTTCTGCAGGCCCGGCCGCGACGCGTGCGTGCGGGCCCTGTGGAGCGGAACACTGACTGAGTCGGCGTGACCCGACCCGGCATGACCGCCACCACGCGAGACCCTGTCGCCACCGTACACCGAGCCCCGATGCGCCTCCGATACCGAGTCAATTTGACACCTCTGACGCGCGGCCTTGTTATTATTGTTTTCGTGTGAACTATCCTGGGTCGGACATCTGGTTCTCTTTGAGTAGGCTGATTACATCTATGTCAAGTCAGATCGAGTGACCTTTCCATTTCGTCTGGTCACCTGCGATGTCCTTAATGTCGATCATGGCATCTGCCTTTGATGACATTGCCTCGCATTATGCTTGGAAAGAGCGTGGCCGACCAAAACATTGGATAACGTAAGTTGTATGGAAAGAGATTCGGTACTGTGAAGGCCTCACCTGGAAAATCTCTCCTCGCACCATCGATCCTGATAATCGGGACCGTACGCCCAGGGATGTTTCCACAATTTCTGTAACAAATCTTTTCATAAAAAGCGAGTTGTGCTCAAGTCCCGACACCTCGCTATTTATAGCCACCAAGGGGGACATCAGTTCTCATAACATACCTCATCACACAGCTCAATACACTGGCACATGGTGTAGTTTGCCTGAGCGTGCTGGACACAAAGCTGATTGCATGTAGAGCTCACATCGTGATGTAGCTGTGTCGCCTGACACAGTGGTGCACCTGTGTCATTTGACATGGCTGTTCACCTGTGTCACGTGATACGGTGGTGTCATTGTGTCACATGACATTGCCATGTAGCTGTATTATCTTACAGTGGTGAAAAATCCAAGCACAAATAAGGTTCCCCGCGCTCGAAGGCGCCTTAGCTCTCAGTGGCCAATTCTGGAACCTTAGACTGTAAGGCAACACGAAGCTGCTGTGCGGAGCAGCCCTGGTCCAGGCGCATACCTTCGGCGGCAGCAAGGTCAGAAGCGTGGGCCGATTTATAGCGGGCCCATTCTTGCGACGGTGGGTAGTGAAGGCTGGCCGGAGCCGAAGTAAGCTTAAAAGGCTTCTGTACAGTGGGCTCTTTTTACATGTCGGACATGTAGATGGTAGACATAAATCACCATGCCACCCTGATACAGGAAGATATATCACCTAAAACCAAGGAATCGGTTCGGCATTGCATTTTCTAGTTATTTAGTGCTGACCTTTTGATTGGGTGAATTGCTGGAATCAAGCGTCCACGCTGTTGCTTGAGCCCTGACACCACCATACGATTGAGAAACTCTGGGTGAGCGGTAAGATTTTACGCCGAGAGCATCCAACCTTTTTCGTACTCTTCACTATTGGTCAGATCAGATTCATACGATTTGATCTGTTGCGTGCACATTGGCTGCGTTCGCGTGTTCCGTAGATGGCGCCCGGACAGGGACGATAGATGGCGCAGCGACAAGAACTACCGGCAAGTGACGCTGCCTCGTTGCGCGACCGCTATTGTAGTTTACTGAACTCCTTTGCTTCGGGGTCAGATGACGTGGCGAGTGGCGCGAGGTTTGGCGTGCGCCGCTGGAATCCGCCTGATTTATCAACGGCGATAGCAAGAACAACTTTGGTAAGAAGGCGTTATTTACTTTTGTTACAGAACTTTTCTGCCTATAAAATGAAACTCTCGTGGTGGCATAAAAGCTGAGGAATTTATGCAAGCAAATCTATGTCAGGTCGGACCTAGTGAGGCATATTTGGGACGTCTTGGAAGTGCTCAGATGCGTGCGGTGCTAGCATAGGTCGGCTAGTTTAAGATACATTGTGATAACTTAGCATGCAGTGTGTCAATTGATATATGACGATATTTTTGCTGTCACTTCTAGATGTGCTGTATTCTGGCTCCGTGTGTCAGCGCGCCTACGTCACATGATCACTGTGTTGTGTTTGTTTCAGAAACCAAAAACAATATGTAAGAGAAAATACAAACGTCCCGCAGTCCTTTAATACGCCGTCAATAACATGATCAATGATGCCAATTTTCTCGAAATCTTGAATAGCTCAGAATTTCGATTTGGAATAGCCCTCTCCTGGGGAAGAAATTTCACTTGACTTCCTGCTCACCACTACGAAGGCAATACATTTCATTCGCCTTGTTATTTCCAACTGTGTGTTCTGCAATGTTTCCAGCACACTGATGTGTTCAAATGTGAAATAAATGCTACTAAAGCATCATAACTCTGTTTAGACCAAGCATGTTTGTGGACGTAAAACTAGTGTCCCACGAATCCAACGAACCTTTACACTAGCTTTGATCTCTCCCCTATGACGTTTAAGACAGTGCTCTTTTCGAGGCGCACTTTGGGTTTGAAAATGGGAGCTTTACATGGTGCGTAGTGACGCACTGCTTCAAACCTCAGCCAGTACGCTTCTCGGTAACAAACCCTTGGCACCGGCTGGGCAAATCACAAACTTCTTTTATTCGCACCAGTAGAGGTGCGCAGGCAGCTGGCATGACGACAGTAGTCGCAACTGCATTACAGAAGTGTAGTGCAATTACAAAGCGTTGGCAGCGAATCTGGACTCGAAAATAATCCAAATCGACACCCGCATTATGCATTGCCGGTGCTGCAGTGGCACTACCCAGTGTTATTATGGGACGTAGCTGGTGCTTAGGTTTTACTAAAGCATGTTTCTGAAACGCAGCCCAAAAGGTGCAATCGACACTCCCTGTAGCGTGCCGCAAGACTTAGCACCGCCAGTGCTGCCCCGAGGCTAGGATTCTCTGACATCAACTGACCGTTATTGCGTCTGGTGTTACCGGCCACAGCCCCTGCCAACCAGGGCCGACCGATGAGCACATAAAGCGAATCGAACCCTTCGCGCCACTGGTAGGCAAAAGCCTCGGTAACATTGGCGTCTTGCACTGGTGCGACCATCCAGGCATTTCAGTTGGCTGGAGCCAAATGTTCAGATGCATCTCACGTCTGGGCATCCTGAGTACATTAGTGATGTTTTTCTATGCTTTAGTTTACGCCACATGTTCTGTCCGAGACGTGGCCACTCACTAACATCAGTTTAATGTAATTAAAAGATTACAATACGATGCTCTAATTATTCTTTCCACACGGAAGTTAGACAAAATTATATACTAAGACATGAGTAACCTGATTTAGTTGCGCTTTAGTGTTCTGCATTCTAAATATGCAGTTTTGTTATTCCGGAGGCTTTATTGTTTTCTCCCCCAAAAGCTTAAGCTTGCTTGTAAAAATAACAACTGATATTTCAATTCACTTCCCTTCTGTGTTTCAAGCAACTGGATCATTGGGTTGGAACGCTTGCATTCTGACTAACCTACTGGTGGCGTGGAAGGTTCCAATCGCTTTATGCGCTTGCTTTTTGGCCTTGGCTGACATGAGCTGTAGCCAGTAGCAGCGGCGCGGTAAAGGTCAGGTGACGTCAGAGGGTCTTACCCTCAGGGTAGGATGCACACTGTCAAGCGTTGCGGCAGGTTAAGCTTTCGCCATAAAATCCTATCCGCTGACCCGGAGTTTCGCCATCGGATACGGCTGTCAGGGGGCACATGCATCAAGCACCACTTAGCGTGGACGTTGATCCCTGAATATTATCTAATCAAAGGGTTAGTGCTAATTCTTAAAAGATGCATACTTAATGCCGTAACTGATCCCTCAATTTTTGTTTCATGTATCTTCCCGAATTAGGGTCAGATAATAATGTATGCACACCACCTACTTGCCTGACATGCAAGCAGAACCGACCGCACGACAGCTTCTTCAGCTCACTTCGATTACAGTCCAGCTTCATTGCCATACCATCAAAAGAATGGGTCGGCCTTCAGTCACTCCACCTCTCTGACCCATCTGCTGCTGATGGCATGCGCCTGGATCAGGGCTGTTTCGCGCAGCAGCTCTGTGCAGCGTTGCACTCTAATGGTTCCGGCATTGACCAGTGGGAGCTAAGGCGCACAATGTGTTCCCTGTCATCACGGTGGTGCACATGTGTCCCGTGACACGCTTGTCTAAAAGTGCCATCTGACACACCGATATGCCTATGTCATCTGACACACCGATATGCCTATGTCATCTGACACGTCGGTGTACCTGCGTTATCTGAGACAGTAGGGTGCCTGCATTACCTAGCACGGCGACACATCTATGTCACCCGATACGGTAGTGTACTTGTGTTACCTGACACAGCGGTATACCTGTGGCGTCTCTTTATCCGGCGTCGCGCGCGTTCGGCTCTGCGTCGCAGACAGCAGATGATGATGAGGGCCGCCGCCGGGAACATGATGATGCTGGACACGATGGGGATGATAACCGTTTCCGGTCTCACTGGGGCGGAACCAGAGGCAGAACCAGGTCAGTCGACACCCGCACATGCAGTCCACCGCCTCACGCCCAGCCTTCATCTGTAAAAGTTAATGGGAAAATTGAGCGCAAAGTCATTATGCAACATTTGCTGGGCTATGCTTTCCAAACAAACAAAACCTGCGCCCCACCACCACGCACAGGGAAATGGGATGATACAGCAGGCAACTTCCTTCCCTCCTTTGTGTGTGTGTGTGTGTGTGTGTGTGTGTGTGTGTGTGTGTGTGTGTGTGTGTGTGTGTGTGTGTGTGTGTGTGTGTGTGTGTGTGTGTGTGTGTGTGTGTGTGTGTGTGTGTGTGGTGTGTGTGTGTGTGTGTGTGGTGTGTGTGTGTGTGTGTGTGTGTGTGTGTGTGTGTGTGTGTGTGTGTGTGTGTGTGTGTGTGTGTGTGTGTGTGTGTGTGTGTGTGTGTGTGTGTGTGTGTGTGTGTGTGTGTGTGTGTGTGCGCACCTGCAGGCCAAACGGTCAGGACTTCTTGCACGAAATTTGCACACGACCGAGATCTGTCGGCTGCATTTGGTAGAGTCTCATCAAAGTTCTACATTTCGCGAAAATGGGCGTGTGCCGAGCGAAAAAAGAACGCGAAAATCCCATAGGCTTAACACGGGCGACGCCAGTTTCGCGATTCCGGTCGACGGCCCGACACGCCTCGCTTCCCGGAGCCGTCTCTCGGTAGCCAACGGTCGCAACGACATGCAACTGGCACGGCGCGATAGAGTACGCAATGGGCCATCGCAATCGGGTGTGTGTTTGGCGCCACGTCACACGTGGCACGTGCACACGTGTTGCCAAGATGAAATCGGCCGTTTCTGGTGGTTTTTTACGCTTACCGTTATAGCTCGGCACATAAAGCATCTATAGGCCTGAATGCTGTTTCCAAACATTCACAATTGAAGCGGCTTCACTTTCAGTGCCCATTGCGAGTTTGTGCAACGTACCGTTGCGATGCAAATTGCAATGCAACGCAATGTGTGTGTGCGCGCGTCTTTGTGTGTGTGTGCGTGTGCGTGTGTGTGCGCGCGCGCATGTGTGTGTGTGTGTGTGTGTGTGTGTGTGTGTGTGTGTGTGTGTGTGTGTGTGTGTGTGTGTGTGTGTGTGTGTGTGTGTGTGTGTGTCTGTTTGTGTGTGTGTCTGTTTGTGTCTGTGTCT